GCTGATTCCATTTTAAGCAAAATTAGAAAGTCAATATGAACTGGTTATACTAGACTGCCTTCTTTTTAACACACACACACACACACACACACACACACATAATCTCTCCTGATTCATCTTCATTTTGCTGTTTCAAAATTACATCGCTGTGGTAGGAATATGCAACTTTGTGTTAAATTTAATGAAAATGCTATAAAAGTGGAGTGTTGATTTATAGGTGGTTCTCAGACATGATATAAGAATAAAGGAGAAAATCCATACCTCAAAGGAGAATTGCATATTGGTGAAAGAGTTTTCTGCTGTGGAATTGGTGGCCCCTACAAATCAATGATTTTGGCCATTGTCCAATTTTTCAAATCTTTATAGGATTTTTATTAAGTGATATTTTGTAGACTTGAGATGAACTTTGGCCACGGGACAATAAATAACCTCTTCATAATACTGTCCCAGCACAGTCCTCTGCAGTGTGCAGGGAGCTAAGGGGCCGTGCAGGGTCCTCTTACTCACTCTCCTCTTTGGGATTCCAGATGAGTCAAGACAAGCACTGGCTTGGGAACAAGGAAACACCACTTCTGCCAACCTCCTGTGAGCCTGCTTCTATTTTGGCCTTTTCCATGCTCTCTCAATTTGGGGAGAACATATTTGAGAAGGGTGGGGGAGAAAAAGGAAGAAAAGGAGGAAGGGAGGGAAGGGTGAAGGGAGGGAGGGAGGGAGGAAGAAAAGAAGGAAGGAAGGAAGGAAGGAAGGAAGGAAGGAAGGAAGGAAGGAAGGAAGGAAGGAAGGAAAAAAATAAAGAAAAGAAAAAGATGCCTTAGCCAACCCTGAGAAAGAAGACAGAGACAGTGAGCATGGCAGTTGCTGGAAGTTTGTTGTTTCATCCGGCGCAATCTGCCGTCCCCATTTGTGGATCTTGCATGCCATCCTTCAGTTGGCACCGCTGCTGCCAGGAACCACCCCCTCCTTTTTCTCTCTGAAGGCAGGGGAAGCCGTATCGCAGCAGTGTTAACTCTTCCTGCCTTCAGCCTAGATTTTCTTCTTTGGACCTCGGACATATTCATCTATGCCATGTTAGGACCCACAGAGATGTTAGAATCAAATAATTTTAGAAGTGGAAGGGGCCTAGGGTATTTTTCCAAGAAGAAAAGCAGCACTTAGCCTTCCCAGATTAGACCACATATGTGACAGTAGGTAGAGGTTATCTGAATTTTGAAGAATGATGATCTCTAAAGAAACCCGCTTTTACCTACAGCCAGGGCAAATCAACAATGAGAGGTGGAGGTGGTACCGGGCTAGAGACACCCACTGAATTAGGTTACCAGAAAAAACAAATGGTAGGGAGGTGCAGGGAAGGCAGCAGGGCCTACAAAAAGGGAGAATGGGTACGAAAACTAGCGTAGCATCCTTTAGAAGGTGGCAGGGAAGGACATGATTAGTCCTGGTAATGATTTAGTGAACAAATACAACTCTTCATTACATTTATTTTTTTTTATTACATTCGTTGTTGTTGTTGTTTTTTCTTTTTTTATTACCTTCCTTTTCTTCTTTTTTGTTTTTCTTCTTTGTTTCGTTTGTTTTTTGGTTTTTTTTTAAATTTTTAAATTTTTTTTTCTTTATTACATTAAGAAGTCATTTAAAATCACATCTGTAATGACTTTCTTGTCTCGCTTAACATGCTTTTGTGGAAATGGGAGAAGAGCACAATCCAGGGAACAATATGAAGTCCAAAAAATGAAGTCCAAAAGTGTTTGACATAACTGCTGTCAAGTGTGTGAGTGAGGGAAGTCGCTCTCCGGATTGTAGAGATTGGGAGCAGTTTTGTTCAGATTAAATAACTGGAAGTTACCGCTTTTAATGAATTTGTTAATTTGTATATGTCAGGCGTGGAATAGTGTCTGCTACAGCATAAGCACCATGTTAGTTGCTGCTGCTGCTACTACTACTATTATTACAATTTTTCAGAGGTAGAACTTGTGTAGAGTGTCTTTAATCAGAAATCATATATCAAAGTTTGTGCAAAAAGCTCTTATTCCTCAGCTTAGCAAACACAAAATGGAATTTTCCTTCGAGGAGCCTACTTTTCAGAAATACCCTCTGTGCTGGTTGGAAACCGGCTGCTTTTATGTTGGGCGTGGCCAGGGCAGAGGTGTGCTTTGCTCTCAGAGCCTTCCAGAGGGAGGAGCCTTAGCTGTCCGAAGTTACTTGAAGTAACTGTTGGTTGTCTGTGAAATAAAATGTATTACAATGAAATTGTGTGTGCTTGTGTTAGATCTGAGAGCCATAGGCTTCACCTTCTTTAGGAAAATGTCTGGTGAATAGAGACAGTCAAGGTGACCCCAGGCACCAGGAAGGGGACTGTCCCAGGTACTTTCCCTCTGCCAACCCTCCCACCATCCCCTCCAAATAACTGCATTTCATGCATTTTTCAAGGTTGAACTCAAATTCATTTGTGATAACTTTGCTAATCCCCTACTGTTCACTGAGCATCCTTTTACCTAAGCTCTTCTCAGACCACTGGGTCTGTCCCACGTAGTTTAATGCTACTAACAATTTATTGATAGTACATGAAAAGAGTTCAGAACAATGCCTGAATCATTCCTCACCACAATGCGTGCTTTATATGTTTTGTCTCAGTTAATCTCAAAATACATTATTTCCCCCATGAGTTAATGGAGGCACAGAGAAGCCAAGTAAAACGACATGTATGAGCCTGGACTGCCTCGCTTTTGATGTCTAGCTCCTTGCTTAGATAGTTTTGTCTTCTCAAATAGGTTAGAAGCTCTTCAGAGCACCTTGTCTCAAACTTCTTTATGTGTGTTGCTGAACAAACCCAGAAACAATCTGGAAGCTTTGGCTAGAAATAGATGATAAAGATTTATTCAAGGATCCTGGCATTTGCAAATGGGGAAATCAGCTAGGCAAAAACCCAGAAATGTTCCAAAGATGAAAGAGTTCTTCCAGTAAAAAGTGCATTTGTTAGCCCTAGGATTAGTCCAGGATGGTTATCAGTCTGGATCGTGGATGTCAGGTGGCCTAGGTAATGAGTCCTTCAGGGGGCAATCAGAGGGTTGTCTGGAGGTCTAGATGTATATCCAGACATTGACACAGGATGAGAAAGTTAAAGTTTAAGTTTCCAGGCTAGTTAGAATAAGAATGGAGTCTTTCCTCAAGTGTCAACCTCCAAAATGCTAATTATTTTAGCAGCTTGGCTAAAATGACTCCATTTTATATATTCCCCATCTTCCCTTTTTCTTCAGAATGTATCCCCCGATGCCCCCCACATTCAAAAGGTTAACTAAGGACCAGCATTCCAGTCCCCGGGTGGCCCCCAGAGTCTCCTGACTGGAGACAACAACTGCTGCAATTGTTTGCATGCTGAGCTGAGGTTTTCCCCAATGAACCCTCTCCTGGAGCAGCTCCAGTCCTTGCCATCATATTAGACGCCATCTTTTCCTAATGTTGGCAAATGGGTCCCAGATGCATAAGCAGCAGCCTTTCTTCCCAGCCAGGGCAAGGGCAAACTTTTTTTCTGAGAACAAGCAGGCACAAGTTGGTATTGGCAGAGTAGCCCTGGACAAATCCGAAAGTCTTGTCCCTTGTCCTACATTTTCTGCTGTATCTGTGCCACCCACAGTCTCTGTGCTACCCCAGGCCCCCAGTTTCCACCTGGACCTGGCTGTCTGAGAAAAACAAGCCCAGCCCTCTGCCTTTTGTCCCCGTTCCTAAGGCTGCTGATAACTACTAATCTGATAAACAAAGGTTTATTGGAATCCCTCCCAGTGACATATTTGCATTTTAAAAGCAGGTAATTCCATAACTGTTCTCAAGGAAGGCAAGGCAAAGGAGGAGATTATTAAAATGACAGCTTGTGGGAAACTGGGCATGGATGTAGAAAGAACTCCAGGTCTGGGTAATCCTAGGTTCAAATCCCGACTCCACCCTCACTAGCTGTGTGACCCAGCACTTTCTCAGGCCTGTTCCTCGTCTGCCAAGTGGCACAGCACCTGGCACCATAAGTATTAGCACCCAGGCCAGTTGTAGCCCCTTGGTAAGTTTTCCTTTAAAGCTTTCCCCCTCCCAGGACCCCCTTCACTGCCCCGTGTCAGGCTCACCGTACTCACGCGTCTGTTGTTGTTGCATGAATTTTTGTTTCTGTATCTGGTTTAGTTGTAAAATGTTCTCAGCTTGGGGTTTTAGAAACACTTATGGATTGTGAAATATATCTTATATACAGGAAAGTTCGTGAAACACATTTGTACCATTTAACAAATAACTATAAAGGTGTCACCCACATAACCACTACCCTGGTCAAGAAAACAAGTACAGTACTGCTTTACAGACAGAACATGGTAGTTCTCAGTTGGTGTCAATTTTTGCCCCCAGGGAACCTGTAAACATTTTTGTTTGTGCTATCTGGGGAGGTGCTACTGGCATCTAGACACAGAGGCCAGGAATGCTGCTAAACACAAGTCAGCCTTCCCCCCCCACCCCCCTGAATTATTCAGCCCCAAATGTCAGTTTGGGAAACCCTGCTGACACAATCATCTGACTAGCCGTTAGTGCCTGATTTTTAGAAATGCAATGCTTCAGCAGGAGGTGAACTTTCAGTAAAAGATTTGAATGCTCCAGAAACCTGTTAGTGTCAAAACTTAGATTTACATAATACATTATTATTAGTAATGATATCCCACTCCACTAGTTGTTCTCTGGGCGGGGAAAAAAAGAAAAAAGGCCAGCCAGACTTTCAGAGGAAGGATCCGAAGTTAATAGACCTTACTAATAGCATCAATCAGTTTGTATTCTTTCACTGCTGCCAAATGTTTTCAATCGCTTCTGTCAATTTGCACCAATCTTGGGACCCCAATCCTGAACACGTTAGTCGAAGCCAGACGTGTTCCATTTTACCATTAATTAAACCGTGAATAAATTAAATATGGTACTCTTTCCAACAACTTGTCCCAGCCCCTGTACACTTGTAACTCATTGTCTTTAATTTATTGCAGGACTTAGTCGTTCGTATTGTTTTTATTCTTGGCAACCTGACGGCAAAAAATAACCAGGCTCGTGAACAGTTTTCCAAAGAGAAAGGGAGCATCCCAACTCTGTTGGCATTATTCCACCACACGCTCTACGAACTGGACCTGCGATCCGAGAAGCGAGTGGGGGAAGGAAGTGAGCCACCCAAGGCACAGACGCCGCAGGCCCAGGTGGAGGACGTACTCATCAAGCTGACCCGTGTGCTCGCCAACTTGGCCATCCACCCAGGCGTCGGTCAGGCCATGGCTGCCAACCCGCACGTAGTGGACCCGCTCCTCGCCACGCTGGGTAAGACCCGAGGCCCACCTGGCCACAGCTTACACCTGGGAAGCTGCTCCCTGCAGTCAACCAGAGAGGTTTTATGGGCTGGGTGTGGTGAGGGTTTTATTAGTACAGTCGGCTTCCTTTAATTAATGAGGCTCCTCAGCTGTGTGAAAGAAAGTTCCTCTTCTGTTCAGAAGTGCCTCAAAAGTAACTGAGATTAAAAAGAAAAATAGTAGTGCAGATTATTATTACCAAAACCCACTGAATTGTACACTTTAAGAGGGTGAATTTTATGGTATGTAAATTGTGTCACAATTCTTAAAAAAGGATACCAATCAAATTCCCCCAAATTGGCCAAACAACAAAGAGTTTAAAATCCCAAGTTTTTCCGTGGTTAGTCCATGCGATTCCAGTTGACTTATCTTTTTATTTTCCAGGTTGTTACATTATCACTAATTATGGCCCCCAGTCATTTAGGTCCCATTTTTTCCCCTGTATTAGCCAGCTTGGGCCGGCATAACAAAATACCACAGACTGGGTGGCTTCCACAGCAGACACTTATTTTTCAAAACTGGGGAGGCTGGAAGCCTCAGATCAGGGTGCTGGCCTATTTGGTTCCTGGTGAGAGCTCTCTTCCTGGTTTGCAGGTGCTGCGTTCTCACTGTGTGTTCACATGGCCTTTTGTGGATGTGTGCAAGTGGGGAGAGAGAGAATGACCTCTCTTCCTCTTCTTATAACTCAATCCTATCGGATAAGGACTCTACCTTTTTTACCTCATTTAACTTTAATTACCTCCTAAAATCCCTGTCTCCAAATACAATCACACTGGAGGTTAGGGCTTTAATATATGAATCTGGGGGAGGGGACACAATTCAGTCAATAGTGTTCTGCCCCTAGCCCCCACAAGTCATGTCCTTCTCACATGCGAAATACATTGATTCTGTTGAAACAACCCCCAAAGTCTTAACTCATTCCAGTGTCAACTCTCACGTCCAAAATCTCCTTTAAATATCATCTAAATCAGATATTGTGAGACTCGAGATATGATTTACCCCAAGGGAAAAAAATTCCTCTCCTGCTGTAAACCTGTAAAACCAGACAAGTTACGTGCTTCCAAAACACAATGATGGGACAGGCCTACGACAGACTTTCCAATTCCAGAAGGGAGAAATAGGAAAAAAAGGAGAGGGGTCAGGTCCCAAGCAAGTCGAAAAGCTAATGGCCGTTCTTAAAACATACACCCGTCCTTCAGCCAGTGGTCCCTCTGCCCACCGAGGCCACCATGGAGGCCAGTATGTAGTAGACACTCAAGGAATACTTGGAGAAAGAAAGAAAGAATAAATGAGTATATGTCTTCTGTAGCACAACAGATGACTGAATTTTCCTTTGAATAGTGTAAGCTCTAGAAAGGCCGTTCTCTTAATGAAACGACGGCCCAAAGGAGAGATCATGAACTCAGAGAATGTAAGAGCCAGCACTGTCCTCCTGCCCACCTCACAGCCCCCTTCTTATTCCCAGAGGAACTTTGGTGTCCTACAAGAAGTCGCAGGCACTTCTTAACCAAGCAAGTCAGGGCCTCCCGCCCAGGCTGGGGCAGGGCTTTTGGAGCAGGCGATGGCCAGGTGGAGAGGGAGTGAGGGCACTCCAGGCACCTACCTGTGCAGGGTCAGAGGTGAGAGGCAGAGGCCCGTTCAGGTTGCTGGAACTAGTTCAGTGTAACCAGACTCGTGACTTTTCCTCTGACCGCCAGGCCCATGTAGCCAACTGCCTTACCTGTCACCAAATGTGGATGCTTCAAAAGCACCTCAGGATATCCAAAGTTGAATCCATGACCTTTCTCCCACCTGGGCCCCCTTCTCATGCCCTAAATTCAGAGAATGTGATCACTGTTCATCCAGTTATGTAATCCAGAAACCCAGGGACCATGCTGGGTGCTTCCTCTCCTCCACCCCCAATCTGGTCTTCACCATATACTGTCCATTTTCCTCCCTAAAGAGTTTTTCAGTCTGTCCACTCTGCTCCATCTCCACTGCTCCCAAGCCTAAGCCACATTATGGGTCATCTGGAATACCACAGGAGGCTCCTCACTGGCATCCTTGCATCTGCTCTTCTCTGCACTGTGGCCAGAGAAGTCAGGAGATGAGTCTGGAAGCTGAATGGAAGGCAGGGACAGCATTACTGAGGGTCTTGTGTGCTAAGCTAACGGGTCCATTCATTATTTCATTCATTCATTCACTTATTCTTATATTCAGCAACTATTTACTGAGCACCCTGTATGTGCCAGACACTGCTCAAGGTACTGGGAATGTAGCAATGAATAAAACAGACCAGCCACTAGTCCTCATGGTGCTTACGCTGTAGGGCTAGAAGACATACATGAAACACATAACAAGTCAAGTGATCACATGTGCAATGGAGAAAATTAAAGTGGGGTAAGGAAAAGAGAGAGTAATGGGCACCGTTTTATATAGAGTGGTTAAGGAAAGTATGTGCAATAAGGTGACATCTGAGCAGCAACCTGAAGCATGTGAGACAAGAGCCAAGTGGGTAACTGGAAAAGGATTCCAGACAGAGGGAATAAGAAGGCAGACATTCTCAGGAAGGATCATGCTGATGTGTTCAAAAAGAGCACAAAGACTAGAGTTATTGGAGGGCCAGGGGCTAGAGCAGCAAATGAGGCCGGAGAGGCCAGGACTGGGGCAGCCCAGGTAGAGCCTGAGGGCCGAGTGAGACCAGTGACATTAACTAACTAATGTTTAATGGGTCACCATTGCTGAGGATAGACTCAGGGAGGCAAAGGTGGAGGAAGAGAAGCCTGGAGGGTGAGAGATGGACTAGGGGTAGCAGGGCAGGTGAGAAGTGGTGAGATTCTGAGTGTTTGGAAGGCAACGTTGATAGGAATTATGGATGGCTTGTGGCCTTAAGGGTCATTCTGTCGGGAGGTGGGGGGTGTGGGGAACAGACTGGCAGGGTGAGCCCATTTAAGAGAGCTCACGGTCAGGGCAAACCAGAGGGAATTAGAGACAGCTGGGCTCACTGGTGCGCTGGCACCTTTGCTTTACTTCAGACACTAGATCAGCTCGAATTTTCCAGACCCCCTGGTTGGAGGGATGGAACTTAGAGTGTTCGAAACGCTGGGCAGGAGTGGTCCGTTGCATTTGGTGCATTTCCCTGCAGGAAGAGTCACGGAAATGAAGCAGCAAACAGCAAGTGCAAGCAGTGCCCTTACACTGACCTTGACCACAACAATGGCTCCTCCCTACTGGGGCTGTTGCAGTGAGGACGGCATTGTTTCTGCCCCTACTATGAGTCTGTGACACCCTTATCCGTACTTTGTTTCAGAATACAAGTCAATTGATGATTGTGAGGAGCTGGTGATCAATACTACAGCGACAATCAACAACTTATCTTACTACCAAGTGAAGAATTCCATAATTCAAGACAAAAAGCTATATATTGCTGAATGTGAGGCCCAGAATCGGGTTTGGGTAGATGCATATTCATTTAAGGTTTTGATTTTATTAACTAAACACAGAACTGGAGACCTTCATATTTTTTTATTTCCTGGTATAAATATCTAAGAGGCTACTTTGATTCTGAGAAATTAAGAGTCTGGGGAAATTAGGTACAGGGAAAAGTTAATTTCTTGGTTCTTGCTGAAGTCTCCTACTGTCTGTATTTTAGTCTCATTTTTAATTTTTGAGTTATCAGTATCATCATGATTGAGTCATGATACTGGTTTCTAATAGCCTTTAAATCAAAACTTAAATTTACTGATTCAATTTCTCCGGTCACCAAACCCAGTGCTCTTAAAGCTCCTCGTGAGTAATAACATGGATGGAATCCTGGAGGCTGTGCGTGTTTTTGGAAATCTCTCCCAGGACCGTGACATCTGCAATTTCATTGTGCAGAAGAATGGTGAGTTAATGACACTTACGTTTATAAACACGCACTTCTTGCCAATAAACAGCGAAGCAGTTTCGGAGCTTGGGTCATGACAATGTGATACTTGTTTCCGCTTTGGGACAAGCAGTGCTTTACATTCTGTTCCATCTGCACGTAAGGCCTCCGGCTCAGGATGCCAGGATGGATCTAGGCAGTGTTCTCAGTGTTCCCGCTCCCTCGTGAGTGGGTTTCTGAGTTCTGAGATGGGTGTGTGTGTGTAGGGAAACGAGTTATCTATACTCTCATTTTTGTCCATGAGAATGGGCTTAAGGCACATTCTTCATGTACTAGAGTGTCCATTAGAGTATTGCTTGTAATAGCAAAAAATGGAAACAACCTAAATGTCCCTCACCAGGCAAGAGAATAAATGCATTATGGTACATTCATGCAACAACATGTACAGCAGTGAAAAGAAATGAACTAGATGTTCATGGGTCAGCATGGATCCACCTCAGACACATAATACAGGAGCAAAAACGCTAGTGATAGAAGTATACAAAATAATGCCATTAAGGTAAGTGTTAAAACATGCAAACAATCTTGGTTATTGTTTATGTAACGTACATGTAGTAATGGTATAAGGTATATAATGGTATAAGGTACTTGGAACTGATAAACTCTACATTTAAGACAGACGTTACCTTTGGAGGGAAAGGAATGCCCAAAGATATAAAATTTGACCTGTGATGTTTTAATTCTTAAACTGGGTGGCAGGCGCACAAGAGTTTATACTAACCATCCTCTGTCTCACATATTTTATGTAACAATAATAACAAAAAATATGTCAACGTAAGAAACGTCCTAACCTGTAGAGAATTTTTATAAGCGTTTCTTTGAGCCAAACCGACCACATATGCAGGGGAGAAAGATTTCAAATGCTCCCAAGAATGACAGTTTTGCAGTTTCTTTTATGCGTTTGAGATTAAGGAGGGAACATAAGATTACATGGAGGTGGGAGAAAGCAAGGTGGGTATTGGATTACAGGATTCTGTGCTTTCTTAAAGGTGGTTATGCCTTCGAGGGGTATCAACTTCTGGCATCTCAAATGTGTGTTAACATAGACGCACATGAACAATGGACAGGGCTGACTAAAACCGTTCAGTTAAAGAAGTTATAGGCCTGGGGCACAACTACCCACCATGACCTGTCCAGTTAGCAATTTATGATTTATTACAACACCCTTTTTTATCCACAGTTACCTTCATGATAGAAAATTTAGGTAATAGATATATTTTTTTAAAAGCACAGAAGCAGCAAACTGCCTCCCATCATCTCACTACCCAAAGAGATAACTGTTCACATTTTGATGTACGTTCTTCAGTCTTAACAACACATGTCGATGTGATGCAGACTCTGCTAAGCTCGCTGTTCAACCCACCGATGGGGCCAAGGTCAGAATAGGGTGGCCGCCTCTCAGGTGTGCAGGAAAACGGGAGCAGGCAGAGCACACACATCCCTTCTCCCCAGCCCTTGGCCCAGCCCCTGCTGGGGACAAGAAAACAGGACAAAGAGTTCCATTTCCTAGGAATAAGGGATGCCAGTTCCCAGAGACAGAGACCCTGTGCCCACCTGAGACACCCCCTACTTTGGAAGTCCTGCCTTGCCACAGGCTGGTTTCCAGCGGTCTGAGCATGTCTTCTGTGACCCTGGAAGGCTTCAGGGAAGATCTCCACAGGAGCCTACTCCGCTCCCCCAGGGCTGTGTATTGAAAATTGCTACTGGAGGTTCAAAAAGGCCCTTGAGATGTTAAAGATGAATTTCACCTGTTTGGCTGGTAGTCCGTGGTTCCTTCCCTCCTTTCCACCGGCAGGGACTCTTATCACTGCCTTGGAGAAGGAGCTGCTGCCTGGATCAGATAGAGCAGTATCTGGGGACAAAGGACCTGGGGGGTCGGGAGCAGGTTCTGGACTTGGTAGGTGTCGGCTAACGCACTGCTGGGCAGTGGGAAGGGATGCTTTAGGAAAAATGGGCTAAATCCCCTAGTAGGGTTTCCAGTTTTGCAAGCCACTCCCCACTTCCCCTTTGCCCTTTCTCTTTATTGTAAGATAAGATACAGCTGAGAACCCTGGGCTTCACTGGTCTGCATTTGTTCTCTACCCTCCCAGTACACAAGTTCATGATGGCACTGCTGGATGCTAAGCATCAGGATATTTGCTTTTCTGCCTGTGGTGTTCTTCTAAATCTCACTGTGGATAAAGACAAGCGTGTCATCCTAAAAGAAGGAGGTGGCATTAAAAAGTAAGTTTTAAGGCATGGAGTTCCAACTTTCTCAGGATTCAGAGGACATAGTTTTCCAGGGAGTTTAGGGCCCTCTAGTCATTCCTTCATGGAAGAGGTATTTCAACATTTGGAAGTGCCAAGCTAGGGTTTAAAATAATTAAGTTCCGCTGAACACTTAAAATAATTGAGAAGTAGATGATTGCTACTTTGTTGTCATTTAAATTTGTAGATATAACATTATTTTAAATCATTGACTTATACATAATACATGTTAAATATTACAGGAGGATAATCATTGTTGTGCTAAAAATGTAAAAATTAGAGATCCTGACCTAATAACTTCTCAATTTGACTTTTATTAACCCAGGTTGGTGGATTGCTTAAGAGATTTTGGTCCTACTGATTGGCAGCTGGCCTGCTTAGTTTGCAAAACTTTATGGAACTTCAGTGAAAATATCACTAATGCTTCATCATGTTTTGGAGATGAAGACACCGACACACTCTTAGTCCTGCTATCATCATTTTTAGGTAAGACTCCTGACTATGAATCTGTGATTTTTATCAGCGTGAGATAAAAATATTTTTTGCATGACCTGTATGGATAAAGATTGGTATGCATTTGGGTGGCTATATTTCTATAAGCAACAATAGCATGTTAAAAATGATAATTTAGAAATATCTGGAAGAGGCTGAATATTATTTACAATGGAGGCACAAGGACTTTTAACTCATTGGACACTGTCATGATTTCTGTGACTTTTTTTTTTTGCATTTTCTGTAGATTGCATAAATACAAGATGTCAGCATGAATGATTGTTGTTGTTTAAAAATATATAGACATTGTTGTAATTGAGAAAATATGGCTAAAAGCTACTCTGAATTAAGTAATGCTTTTAAGTGAATCGACACGTTTTCATTAGCAGCTGTGTTAATTATCATGCGAGGAAGGGTCCATGAAACTATTTGACTTTACAGTGGAGTCCATGTTCTTGGAACGTAGGAAATCACTGACAAATTAAAAGTGAGAGGATAGCATCTTCCATTTTAAAAGTTTCTATTTTTAGGGTAATTTTTATCATCCTGGGTTAGGTCTAACAACAGTGATTGGGGTCAGTAAATGAGTGTTTTCAATAATTCTTCTCCCAAAATGGAGAAGTTGCCCAGCCCAGCAAGGACGGGTGGAAAGGTGCTGTGTGATTTGGAAACTGGGGGTTCAGGAGGCATCATTCCATAAGAGAATCTCTCAGAACCTGTCTTTTCATCTCTAAAATGGCTGGTAATCCCAGCCCAGCTGCATGAGTCATGAGGATCAAACATCCTGAGAGCACAATGGAAAGGCCAGGAGGCTGTTCTGAGTTCAAGTCCCCGTGTTAGTGCTTACAAGTTTTAACCTCTCTCCATTATATTTTCTCATCTCTAAGATGGGGACGATTGATGTCCATCTTGCAGAGTTGTTAGGGTGATAAATAAGCAGATGTGTACAAAGAGCCTGGTACAGTGCCCGTCCTCAGAAAATGGTTGTGGACGCGCTTCGCAAATCCTAAGTGTTGTAATGATATGTTATCAAACAGGAACTCAGAACCATAAGTTCTTTGAAAGAATCAGGTTTGCTAGGTAGATGTGAAATGTGCTTTGTCCAGGTAAACATAATGTTGTGCCTGTAAGAGTAAGAAAAATGGCTCCGTGGACGTTACGTTTCTGCCAGGTTGCCAGGAGCAGAAGTACACATTCAGCTTGCCTTGATTCAATTCTCAACTGGGCCAGAACATTGGAATCAACTGTGGAATTAAAAGCAAAACAAAACGGGACAAAAAAACCACTTATCCTGGCCCCATCCCCAGGAATTCTGATTCAGGAGCTCTGGGGTGAGGCCGATAATCTGTGTTTTTAAAAAGTTCCACCGGTGAGTCTGCTCTGCAGCCAGGATTAAGAACCTGTGCCCTGGATAATGAAGGAGTTTAAGGGAAGGGCGCACAGAGACCAAGGAAGCGAGGACACGAGCACGTTGCCCAGGGCCTGCCAGACAGGACCTGCGAGGCTGTGCCTGACGGAACCAGAGTCCACAGTGAGTCCCTCAGCAGCAGGCATCATCGGCCCGGTCTCTGCCATTATGGAAAAAGCCCTTCCTTTCCCTCTTTCCCTCGAGGATCCTGCTTGGTCATGGTTTCAACTATGTTGAGGCTTCTTGCTGCACTCAGTGTGTGTGACTCTGTCTCCTCTGTTGTTGGCTCACTTTTCTCTGTCTCCCATTTGGTGAAAAGATGTGATTGATTCTCCTGGGCTGTTGGGCGGCAGCAAGTGAAATGGTTATGTGGTTGAGAGTGGACTTGAATTTCACTTCTTTTATAAAGATAGCTAAAAAACAGGCCACTCTGAACACAGGATGAGCTGTTACATAACAAAGCCCCATGTTGATGTGTGAGCACTGTTTTTAGAAATAATGGCAAGGCGATTGATAAAGTACTAAGTTTTCCTTGACGGGTGACTGGGAAAAATAAAAGGAGAAAGTAATGGTCCTCAGCATGGTTGGGATGTCAGGATGTTGACCGTCTTTTTAGAAAGTGGTTTAAAAAGAATGTTGTCTAAAACTTCCTGATGTATTGCAATCACTTCTTATGAACTCATTAGGAGTGTGTTTTTCTTCAAGTTTTTAAGTGGTGTGCCCTAGCACACGAGTCTACCATGGGCTTCTCTTGGGGGAGCTGGCCACCAACTGGTGGTCAGTGTGTGGAGTTTACTATTGTGAATGTAAAATACACTAGGCTTTGTCATTGTTGTTGTTTTTATGTTCATCATAAGGTACGTGAAACTTTGCATCTCGTTGTGTGACAAGGGGTAGAGTGGGGCCCAGTGTTCAAGCTGGAAGATCACACTGTCCAGCCTATGCCAAAAGCCAGCCCATGCCTCTGCGACGTGTGAGGGCTGTGCCTTACAAGAACATAGGACAATAATAGATTCTTCAAATAGCTACCTGGTGCTGCACAGAAAGCTAGGAAATAGTGCAGTGAGTTGGGGAAGCTTTTAGGCACTTGAACTATAATGGAGATGGTGTTATAATGACCACTGACAAATGTTTTGTTTTGAGTTCTTTAATCCTTTCTAATACCTTGCCTAAAATTCTAGTATTTGGAAGTGTGCTGTACCCAAAGAAAGCTTAAGAAGTATTGGTTTTCTAAATCAGTGCTTTTCACATTGTGAGCAGCATCTTCAAAAAATGAAGTAGCAAAGAAAAATTTCGGAATACATTACATGTCGTAAGGATAAGTGTTCTATTATGAAACATTTCTTTACTTGTATATAAATATGTAAGCATATGTATACAGTTATAATGTAACATGTATTTCTTAGATCACGGTCAAAGTTTAAAAATCATAGATCTAAATTTTTCTTCATTAGGCTCTGCCACTCTGCAATACAGCTTCCAAAACGTAATGCCTAGTGTAATATGGCATTTTTATGTATTTGTTGTATTTACTAAGAATCTTCAGACTGCTTTTCTCTTACCTGTAACTATGTGGCCAGTTTTATTATTTTTTCTAATCCAATTTAAAATGAATAGGGCCTGAGATTAATCATAGGCTGAGCCTCAAGAAAAGTTAACATAATCTTGACGTTAGATTGAAAAAAACCCTCCAAAAAACCAAAAACACCCCAGCAACCAGCATAGCCAGCTTTATTTGTGAAATAAGGAAATAAACGCTTACTTCTCTTAAAAACAAAAACAAAAGCACCAAAATAGATATTTGCTAAAACAACCAATGAACCAAAGCTTGGGGCAAAAGAAGAGGCTATGCATGGGCAGCCCTCAGCCCTGAGCATCCTGGGAAAGAAGGCCATGAAACAAAAGAATTCACTTTCATCTCTGAGACTATTTCTGTTTACTTTGCTTGTTCATTCATTTCTTTAGATTCCACGTATAAGTGAGGCTTGATCACTGTACACCTGAAGCTGATGTTGTATAATATTGTATGTCAACTATAATTGAATATATACATAGTAACGGGATGTGGAGTATAATGTGGGAGTGGAGTCAATGGAATTGTAATAGATATGTATGACATGGGGGGTGGGGCAGCAGACTGGGGGAGGGGAGTTGTCACTTTGAGGGTAAAAAGTATAACTATTGCACTGTTGTACACCAGAAACTAATTTTTAAAAAAAATTGAAAAAAGAAGAATTCACTTTTAAACAAGTTTAGTGCTCAGAAAACTTGGAAAAGAGTGAGCAGGAAAAAGACCTAGAACTCTGAAACCACTCAAGCTCACAGATTCCTCTCGTCCATAAGTAACCCAATGGGAAGGGCTTTGAAGGCATCAAACACTGTCCCATTCCCATCCCCCCAGGGACCTGGTTATGGCGTGGGCGGGGATAGCCAGGTTTGTTTACACAGGTCTCCATGGAGCGCTGTTCTAAAGTGTTTGTCTGCCTGGGACTTATCTCGGAGCGGCATACCTACCTGTCCACTTGGCTGTGAGGAGAGGAGGGGAAGGTACACACTGGGATTCCAGCCTCCCTTATCTTATTCTGGGTGGTGACACCAACAGCAGCAGTGCCAAAGGACGCAGGTGTACACATATACTCATTGCAGAAGATTTGATGTAAACAATAACGAAGCATTTTATAATAGGATTTTAATTAACTCTACGAAGAAAGTTTGCAGATTATGTAAGTAGCAGTATTTGTGGTCATTTTAGGACTTAGTGGTCACCACTTAGGAAGGCTGCCTCAGCTACAGACCTGGGAGGTGGCAGAGCCAATCTTGTGACTGGCAAGCCTTCCCACTGGGGCGTGAGGCCCAATATAAACAAGGAAAAAAACTCAGCGCAGGTCAGCGCAGAAACCTTAGTGTCCATTTATCTTCCTGCTTGGGTGAATATATTATACTTACCATGTCCACAGAATTCAGGGTGCCCTTGGATTAAGAAGCAAATTAAAATTGTAAGTTTGCTTTTTTTTTTTACACATGCTTTTCTGCATTACCCATGGATTCACTCGGGATTCTAATCCCCCTTGGGGTCCTCAAAGCCTCCCACTTTTCACTGTTGTGGGACACAGCATAAGGGTGTGTGTGGGGGGGTGTCTTTTCAAAGAAGTATGTCCAGACTGAGTTGAAGCCAGCAAAGCCAGCACAGTTGATTTTCAGTCAAGTTCAAAGCAGCAAATTCAACTGCGCTACTTTCACAAAAGATTTCCTGACTCGTTTTGTATCTGTCAACCACTGAAGCAGTTAACTTTTCTAATGTGCAGATAATGAAGTAACCTGTTAATACTGTGTTTATTCTGAGCAATTGTGATCTGACTTTTGGATGTGGACGTAAACACTAAGAGATTTGTTGAAATAAGAGCTCAGTGCAATTTAGAATATTTTTGAGAAGATTCTTGTCTGTTTTAATGAGACTAAAATATACTATTTTAAAATATTTGTAAAGAACAGAAGAGAGTAAAGAACTTCAATAAAAAAGACTTTAAAAACAAAACCAGAAAAAAAGCCTTTGAGCTCCCTAAATCTTATCTGTGTCATATTGGAATTAGGGATGACCCAGGATGAAGACCAAAAAAAAAATTAAAAAAAAAAATTAAACTTTATTCAATAAGGTTATATTTCCAAATAATTGCTGTAATTTTAATTTTTCTGATACAGATGAAGATCTGGCACTGGATGGCAATTTTGACCAAGACCTAAAAAACTATCACAAACTCCAGTGGGAAACAGAATTCAAACCTGTGGCACAGCAGCTTCTAAACCGAATTCAGAGCCATCATACCTTCCTGGAAGCCCTGCCTATGCCCGCTTTCTAACATGATGCAGATTAACACCAGAAACAGGAAGTCAGGTCTCCTTCATTCTTAAGAAGTGGTAACAAGCACGAACATTTTTTTTTTTTCCAGTATTAACAAATATTGAGTTTTTCAGGTACTGGTGTTAGTGAGTAGTCAAAGTATTTTAAAAGAAATAAGCATTTCTTTTTATTAGGTATTATGGGAAAATGAATATACATGTGCTTTCTGCTATGAGAAATGTAAGATAAAAATATATGCATGTTTTTTTCTAAGTAAATGACTTTTTCTTTCTATTCTCTCTTCAGTAATTGAGTTCTAGTCTTAAAATCCTGATTTAACAATTCTGGAATTTAAGTGCTTATCAGTTCAGTAGCTAAACGGTTCAGTGAAGACTGTCAGATTCTGTATATTGAAAGAATGGAGGTCAACACTATTAGGAATACATCACTACATAAGCATCTGTATTAATTCCTGTTATCCAATAACAATTTTCCAGTTAGGCACCAGTATTTTTGTGGTTCTCATATTATAAGAAGGAGTAAGCAGAAAAAATTTGGGTTGACCACTTTGGGCCATCTACTCTTTCTTCATTAAGTAAGTAAAATAGATGAAAAGGGGAGTATTTTACCGTTTTTCTTTGAAATATAATCCCTAGACCAGACAGTCCTTCAAATTATAACTCTGTGTCACTAGGGAGATGATATAATCTGGTAGAGAGAGTGTAGGTTTAGGAGTATGCCAGATCTGGGTTTGAATCCTAGCTTTCCCCTGGTTGGGCCCTGGACAAGTAACTTAATTTCTTTAGCTTCAATGGTAAAATGGTAATAATACCTATTATAGTGTAGTTTAGAGAAAAAAAAACCACATTAAGTGGGCAAATTGCCCAGTAGTGTCCGATGTCTAGTAAGTACTTAATAAATTATAACATTATGATGGTCATTATTTTATTAGTTGGCCATTCTTTGTGTAGAATAAGTTTGGCCTTTGAATTAATGATAAAAACTAAATAAATTGAGATTACTGTTATCCTATACCAGTCAAATGAAGATTTGGAAGTAAAGTATGTTTACTACTCTGCTTGGAAAAAAGCTGTTATTAATGGTTCATCTCTTACCGTACAAAATACCAAGATGAATGGGATGAAGGCAGGCATCCCAGATGGAACAGGTTCTCAAAGCCTATTGGGAAAAATCTGAATTTCCAGGAATAGATTTTCCAAGGGTTCTTCTAATCTGAGGCTCATCGCTGATTAGGGCTCAGCAAAATTGCTGGGGACATTCACCTTATTATAACCTGTCATTTGTAAGTATGCTAGTAGATTCACCCCAATAGATAACATCTTTTTTTTTTTTAAGATTTTATTGGGGAATTGGGGAAGGGGAACATTCTGTTTTTCCAGGACCCATCAGCTCCAAGTCAAGTTGTTGTCCTTCAATCTAGTTGCGGGGGGCACAGCCCACACTGAGCCATGCGGCTGCCCGTCAGCAGCTCATGGCTGCTCAGCTCAAGGTGCTGTGTTCAATTTAGTTTCAGTAGAGCGCAGCCCACCATCCCAGGCAGGTGTCAAACCGGCAACCTTGTTGTTAAGAGCATGTGCTCTCACCAGCTCAGCGGCAGCTCAGCTCAGGCACAGCTCACTGGCCCATGTGGGAATCGAACTGGCGATGCTGTTGTTCAGAGCTCGCGCTCTAACCAACTGAGCCACTCGACCAGCCCGATATCATTTTGAATATAAGGAGCTGAATATTTTATCCATAGTGGGCTACATATTCTACTTTCAGTGAAAAAGATAAAAACAAAATTTCCCCCTAAAACAGCTCTTCAGTATTTATAACTAATATAATAACTCATGGTGGAATACCATTATACCCGCTCTCCTACATACTAAATTCTTCCCCCTTGGACTCCTGTGCAAGCTGGACCATTTGGAACTATCTACCTGCCTTAAAAAAATATTGTAAGAAACACAACATAAAATTTATAATCTTAACCACTTTTAAATGTACACAGTTTAGTAGTGCCAAGCATATTCACATTGTTCTGCAACAAATCTTGAACTTTTTTATCTTGCAACTGAACCTCTGTATCTATTAAACAATTTACAAACATTTCCTCCTGCCCTCGGCCCTAGCAACTACCAGTCTACCTTCTGTTTCTATGAATTTGACTAGTTTAGATATAAGTGGAATCATACAGTCTTCTTGTGACTGGCTTATTTCACTTAGCATAATGTCCTCAAAGTTCATCCATGTTGTAGCATGTGACAGGATTTTCTTACTTTTTAAGGAATATTTTCTTGTATACACACACACTTCATTCATTCATTCATCAATGCACATTTGAGATGCTTCTACCTCATGTCTATTGTGAATAATGCTGCTATGGACATGGGTGTGTAAATACCTTTTTGAGATCCTGCTTTCAATTATTTTGTATATATACCTAGAAGTGGAATTACTAGATCATATAGTGGTTCTGTTTTAAATTTTTGAGGAACCCCTATACTGTTTTTCATAGAGGCTGCACCATTTCACATTACCACTAACAGTGCACAGGGTTTCAATTTCTTCACCTTTTTGCTAACTACTTGTTATTTTTCTGTCGTTTTATTTTTTGATAGTGGCCATCCTAATGGGTGTGAAGTGATATCTTGTGGTTTTCAGTTGCATTTATCTAATAATTAGTGATGTTGAGTATCTTTTCATATGTTCGTTGGCCATTTGTATATCATCTTTGGAGAAATGTCTATTCAAATCCCTTGCCCATTTTTTAATCAGGTTATTTTTTTTTCTTTGAGTTGAAGTTCTTTATATATTCTGGATATTAACCTCTTATGAGATATGTGATTTGAAAATATTTCCTCCCATTCGATATGTTGCCTTTTCACTCTGTTCATTGTGCCCTTTTATGCACAGAAGTTTTTAAGTTTGATGTAGTATCATCTGTCTGTTTTTAATTTTGCCCTTGCTTTTGGAGTTATATCTAAGAAATCATTGCCAAATCCAATATCCTGAAGATTTTCCTCTGTGTTTTCTTTTAGGAATTTTATAGTTTTAGTTCTTACATTTAGGTCTTTAATCCATTTTAATTTTTGTACATTGTATAAGATAAGGATCTAACTTCATTCTTTTGCATGTGAATATCCAGTTTTCCCAGCACCATTTGTTGAAGAGATTGTGCTTTCCTCATTGAATGGCCCTGGAACCCTTGTCAAATATCATTTGTTCATGTAATGAGGGTTTATTTCTGGGCTCTCTGTGCTCTTCCATTGGTCTATATGTCTGTCTTTATGTCAGTACCACATTGTTTCGATTACTGTAGCTTTGTAATTTGTTTTGAAATCAGGATATGTGAGACCTCTAACTTTGTACTTTTTTCAAGATTGTTTTGGGCCAGCCGAGTGGCGCGATGGTTAAGAACTGGCTTGGGACGCCAGAGGGCCCCGGTTCGGATCTCACATGTGAGGGCCAGTGACACTGCCCTCCACAGCTAAGATGCTGAACAGCTCAACCTGGAGCTGGGCTTCTGTGAGGCGACGGCATAGGCTGCAGCCCCTGTGGTAGTGGGTTGCCATGGGCTACCATATGTAGCCAGCAGCCAGCTGCCGCTGTGAGCGGCCGTCCAGAAGCCGGCGACTGATCTGTCTCGCCCGGGAAGAGCGCAATGATGGTGCCAACTTGGGCCAGTTAAGCAATGTCCTCCAGAACTAGACTGAAGAACAAAACAACAGCAACTTTTCTGTTCCCCTTTCCCCAATTCCCCAGAGCTGTATCCATCCCAATTCCCCAATTTAAAAAAAAGAAGATTGTTTTGACTATTCAGAGTCCTTTGAGACTCCATGTGAATTTTAAGATGGATTTTTCTATTTCTGCAAAAAAAAATGGCATTTTTAAAAGAAAATGGCATTGAATCTGTAGATTGCTTTAGGAAGTATTGACATCTTAACAATATGAAGTCCTCCTGTCCATGAATACAGGATGTCTTTGCATTTATTTGTGTCTTCAATTTTTTTTACAGCAATATTTTGTAGTTTTCGGGATACAAATCTGTCTTCTTGGTTTAGCTTATTCCTAAGTATTTATTGCTTTTAAAGCTATTGTAAATGGAATTGTTTATTTCCTTTTCAGATTGTTCGTTTTTAGTGTATGGAAATGCAATTGATTTTTGCATGTTGATTTTGTATCTTTAAACTTTGTTGACTTTATTAGTTCTGTGTGTGTATGTGTGTGTGTGTCTGTCTCTTCAGGGTTTTCTGCATATAAGATCATGTCATCTGTAAACAGATAATTTTACTGTTCTTTCCAATTTGGATACCTTTTCTTTTTCTTGCCTAATTGCTCTGGCTAGGACTTCCAGTAATATGTTGAATAGGAGTGATGAGAGGAGTGATGAGGAGTAATGAAAGTAGGCAATCCTGCTTGTCTTGTTCCTGATCTTAGAGGAAAACCTTTCAGTCTTTCATTGAATATGTTAGCTGTGGGCTTTTCATATACAGCCTTCATTTCGTTGAGGTAATTTCCTTTTACTCCTAGTTTGTTGAGTGGTTTTTATCATGAAAGGGTGTTGAATTTTGTCAAATGCTTTTTCTGTATCAATTGAGATGATTGTGGGGAATTTTTTCCCTTCATTCTATTAATGTGTTGTATTACATTGTTCAACTTTTGTATGTTGAAACATCTTTGCATACATGAATAAATCCTACTTAATCCTTTTAATGTCCTGTTGAATTCTCTTTGCTCTAGTATTTTGTTACAGATTTTTGCGTCAGTATTCATCAGGGATATTGGTCTGTACTTTTCATTTCTTGTGTTGTCTTTGTCTGGCTTTCGTATCAAAATAATGCTGACCTCATAGAATGAGTTTGAAAGTGTTCCCTCTTCTTCAATTTTTTGGGAAGAGTTTGAGAAGGATTGGTGCTAATTCTTCTTTAAATGTTTGGTAGGATTCTCCAGTGAAACTCTCGGTCCTGGGCTTTGTTGGAAGGTTTTTGGTTACTGATTCAGTCTTGGTAGGTTGAGTGTTTTGTTATCCAGTTGGTGGTGTACAGTTGTTTATAGTATTCTCTTACATTCTGTTACATTGGTTTAAATGTTCCCTTTTTCATTTCTGATTTTATTTGAGTCTTTTATTTTTTGTTTTATTATTTTAAAATTTTGTAAAAACAATATTTTTAAATTACAGTTGACATACAATATTAATATTAGTTTCAGGTGTACAACATAGCAATTAGACATTAACATACCTTACAAAGTGATCACCCTGTTAAGTTTATTACCCATGACACCACAAATAGGTATTACAATACTATTGACTATATTCCCTATACTGTACTTCACATCCCTGTGACTATTTTGTAACTACCAATTTATATGTCTTAATCTCTTCACCTTTTTCACCCAGCCTCACAACCCCCCTCCCATCTGGCAACTATCAGTTTGTTCTCTGTATCTATGAGCTTCATTGTTTTGTTTATTTTGTTTTTTAGATTCCACATATAAGTGAGATCATATGGTATTTGTCTTTCTCTGACTTATTTCACTTAGCATAGTACCATGTAGGTCCATCCATGTTGTCACAAATGGTAAGCTTTCATTTTTTTATATGGCTGAGTAATATTCCATTGTAAATATGTACCACTTCTTTTTCCATTTGTCTATCGAAGGACACTTAGATTGCTTTCATGGGAATATCTTGGCTATTATAAATAATGCTGCAAACATAGGGATGCATATATCTTTTCAAATTAGTGTTTTGGATTTCCTCAGAAAATTCCCAGAAGTGGAATTGCTGGATCATATGATAGTTCTATTTTTAATTTTTTGAGGAACCTCCATATTCTTTTCCATAGTAACTGTACCACTGTATAATCCCACCAACAGTGCATGAGGGTTACCTTTTCTCCACATCCTCACCAACAAAATATTTAGAAATAAATTTAACTGAATAGGTAAAAGACCTGTACTCAGAAAGTTATAAGACACTGAAGAGAGAAATTAAAGAAGATACAAATAAATGGAAGCATATACCATGCTCATGGATAGGAAGAGCTAATATAGTGAAAATGTCCATACTACCCAAAACCCAAAACAATATATAGATTCAATGCAATCCCTATCAAAATACCAATGGCATTTCCCCCAGAACTATTATAGAACAATAATCGTAAAATGTATATGTAACCACAAAAGATTCCAAATCTTGAGCAAGAACAACAAAGTATCATGCTACCTGATATCAAACTACAAGGCCCTAGTAATCAAAACAGCATGGTAGTGGCATAAAAACAGACCCACAGATCAATGGAACAGAATAGAGAACCCAAAAATAAACCCATGCCTATATGGTCAATTAACCTATGACAAAGGAGGCAAGAATATACAGTGGGGTAAAGACAGTCTCTTTAATCAATGGTGTTGGGAAAACGGGACAGATATATGCAAAAAAAAAAAAAAAACAACTAGACTAGCTTCTTAACCATGCACAAGAATAGATTCAAAATGGATAAAAGACTTATTAAATGTAAGCCCTAAAACTATAAAACTCCTGGAAGAAAACATAGGCAGTAAACTCTTTGATAATGCCCTTAGCCATATTTTTTGGGATAGGTCTCCCCAGGCAAGGGAGACAAAATAAAAAATAAACAAATGTGACTACATCAATCTAAAGAGTTTTGGCACAGCGAAGGAATACCATCAAAGACCATCTACTGAATGGGAGAAGGTATTCACCAATGATACATCCAATAAGGGGTTAATATCCAAAATATATAAGGAACTCATACAACTTAACACCAAAAACAAACAAACAATCCTATTTAAAAATGGGCAGAGGACCTGAATAGACATTTCTCCAAAAAGGACATACAGATAGCCAACAGACCTATGAAAAGATGTTCAACATCACTAATCATTAGGGAAATGCAAATTAAAACCACAATGAGATATCATCTCACACCTGTCAAAATGACTGTCATCAATACATCAATGAACAAAAAATGTTGGTGTTAAGTTGTATGAGCTCCTTATATTTTGGGTAGGACCAAAAATATTTTTATATATATGGTAAGCTAACTAGAAATAGACTTATACATTTCTTTTACATATATTGAAAATAATAATTTCTAATTAGTGATAGTCTTGTCTTGAAGCAGGTACCACCTCTATTCAAAATTGTGCCTCCCCACACCTATCCCCATCCCCACATTATAAATTTGTAGGCAATGCATTGAGCTCAGTAAATGCTTTGATGCGTAACAGAGTTATTACAACTTTGATTAAATTTTGAGCTATTTTTAGTTTGTCATTTTTTGTTATATAGTCACTCCCTAATAATCCTTGTTTCTAATCTTAATACTTCTATTTGAACTCTAAGTCACCTCAGTTCCAAGGGACAAGGCATGGGACCATACCAGTCATTTCCAATTAAAAACAGTCTCATCTAAGATCCTGAAGGTCCATTTTTCTTTGTATCCTTCGAAATTACTTCAAGAGTTTGCCACTTAATAGCAGACTCTCGTCTGATTATAGCATTATTTAAATGTGAATCTACTTGGTTAATGAAAATAAATAGAAATTCAGAACTGTTACCGGTTGTGAAATCATGACTTTTTTAAGAGATTCAAACAACAAATACAATTGGAGAAAAGTTATTCTTTATTGAAAAATACCAATAATACTGACAGACTTCAAAAGCAATTCACGCTTCCAGAATACAAAGTACTTAACACATTTTTCAAACCTGTTTGCATTTCAAACAGTTAGCATTTTTGTAAATTAAATTTGGTAACCTGACTAAAAATATTTTCCAGCTTTATTATTTAAGGAGCTGCACAACCTTTAAAGCGGGGACAATGAGTTGGGTGGGCGCCGAATGCACTGGGGGCTGTGCAGCAGCCTACAGCAACATTTCCCCCAGTTTCGGGGCTGGAAACAAAAATACTGCACAAGATAGCTGCCCTCCAGTGTCAGAGAATCTTGGGAAACAGCAAATCAAGAGATAGCCAGCTTTTCTTACAATTTATACACTTTCATTTAAGATTGCTTTTTGAAGAATATCTTTAAGAATGGCACTGTAATTCAATGTCATCCAATAACTGAATTTAAAAAAAACAACTATAATGCAAGAAATGAGCTGTTACCATCAAAATGGTCTTTGCTGAGCTGTGAGTAATAATTCTATGCTTTTTTTTTTAGATGCAACGAAATTAACACATAGGCAAGTTTAATTTGAAACCACACAAACTACGTAATATAGGCTCAGATAGTAGCAGTGTTCACTTTTATTACTAATAGCTTAACTGGAACAGCCACTCGATTCATTCCACCAGCAGGAATAGCAGCACCAAGATCTAATATTCTTTATGTATGAAAGCTTTTGTCATTATCCAAGTCCCATTCTTTGCATGCTCCAATTCTTGTTATCTTATTTAACATAAAAGCAACAGGATTTGGAGAGTTACTATTTGCTGTATCAAAACAGTTATACAGCATCTTGTACTGTCAAAAAGCAAAATACTGTGAATGGCAACCCTTCTTCACAGCGCTACACTTGAAGCTGCCAAAGCATTCACTGCTCGTGCCAGCAGTGGTATTTCCACAGTAAAATAGCAGAAACTAAAGGAATCATGGCACAATGGATTTCTGAATTCTTTTATCTACCATTGGTCCTGGGGCTCGGTACCTTCCCCTCGTAGACTACATCTGCTGTTCGTTCCATCATCTTCAACGGAGGAAAGGCATCAGGTCATATAGCGGGTAATGGCTCTCAGAGCATAAAGGAGTTCTGCTTGCATCCTAGCTTCTATAAGAAGCAGATTAACGTGAACCTGAATATAAGACACATCATTTAAGGTAGGGTTATAAGCATTTACAGTTTTTCAGTGCATCTAATAAACACTAAAAATCAAGTACATTTACTGTGTGCCACTGAATAACTTAGAAGTCTTGGGTTTGTTAAACAGAATGTCAATTTCTCGAAACAAAAGCTATCTGATATTCTTTTGGGATAGGTGTTTTGAGCTTATATTTATGTCTGATCACATCTCTTGGAGGTTTGTTATATTACAGAAAACCCAGACAGTGCTTTATTAGAACACAAACTTCCCCTGCCAAATCATCATTCAATGATTTCTATATAGATGAATAAAGGCTAGACTAGGTATTTCTATGAAAAACAATTTAAAAGAGCTCTTATAAAACAGTCTTTCCCTAAGTGGTGACACATGCCAGCCCTTCCGAAGGTGGCCAGACCACATGTCCTCCCTGTCTTTATTCTTTTACACTAGCACCATAATGAGGTTCTTTCCCAAGGGGCATCTGAGACAGTTGTGCTGGAATGTTCTCTGGGTCGGTAGAAGTGATGGAAAGGTTTAGATTAGGTGAAGGAGGACAAGAATCACTGCTGAGTTAGAGAGTAAACAAGCCACAGTAGGTGCGTACCTTCTCAGAGTGCTTGAACTGCCTCCAGAAGCTATCATACATTCTTTTGGTAACCTTTTCAGGAGTGCAAACAATAGTTTTGATATAAACTTTAAAGCTACGATCCAATAGCTGGTTAATTTCACCATAGTCATAGTCATCATATCTGTTAAAAAAGTAAGAATTATACTTTCAATGTGTAGTCTGTTTTCTTCTCACAAAAGTATAAACATCACTACTAAATGCTGTATTTTTTCCCTCTTTGTGTAGGTGCTGTCACCCCCAAATAACAGCTTTATAATATTGAAATGGGGGTGGATGAGTGAGTATAAAGGGATAAGAAAGAGAGAAGTTAGAGAGATGAACAGAAAGAAAAAAAAAAGCAACAGTATGTATCTACAATCATGAAAAAGCAACCATACTGAGGAACAAATTCTAAAAACAGAGTTTATGAATACTGCTGAAATTAATCAAACAATATTTATTATTGGTACTATTATATGATATGTAACTTGTAATCCACTTGTGCAAATAAAACTAATTAGAATTATTCTTCTCATGTTTCCAGAGTTTCCTGGGGTCAGATGAGAAAAAAAAAGGGGGAGGAGGAGCTGTCTCAGAGGAAAGGGAGGTCTATAGATGGCCTTACAGTGTCTACACTTAGGAGACGCTGTTCTGCTTTAAGCCGCGATGGTCAAAGGCACCAGTGTCTGGTTGGCCCCACTGGGTGATGGTTTCTAGAACACCCAGGGACTGAAGTCCTCTATTCTGTTTTCAGTAGAAAAGAGAAAGCTCTTATAAAGCCGGTCCATTCAGGAGGCTAAAGTCAATAGCCTGGCCACTGATAAAATAAGCAGCAGGAGAAAGCCTGACTTTACAGCTAAAATAAGAAAGTACTGCAGCAATGAGTTTGTGTGCATATGTTAGAAGGTGGTATATCATGACTGCATTTCCTATGTAACGTACTAATGTGGCTGAATACCTCACAATCAGGACGTGAAAGTTTTGCATTTTAAGGAAGTATCACAGGAGTAGGAAGTAGCTTCAGAAGGAGCCTGAGAAGAGCCAGGAGGGAACCATAAGGGTCCTAGGTTCCAAGAAGGGACAAGTGTAAGTGTGTCAGGAGACAGAAGATGGCATAAAGAGAAAAGATACCAAAGACGTCTGGTGACACACGTCACCTCTTTTCCTCTGTACTCTAGGACCAGCTTGTTGGCCCCCCCCTCCCCATCCCTGGAGGCACCTTGTCAATGTCCCTAACTCTCCCTCTTGCTTAGCTAGGAAAGAGAAAACAAACCAAGCTGTAATAAGTTGGTTCTCTGAAGCATATCCATAAAAATAAGCTACTGGAGAAAGATTTTGAGTTTACGTGTCTGTGTGCATATGTGTTCCAAGTACCTGAATAATTTAGCCCAATGGAAAAATATCTCTTTATAAACATAAAAAAACAGACTAACCTTATTCCAAACATGCAGTGAATATAGTTCCAAATCGCCCGTCTGAGCATTGAGGTATCGACATCTTTGTGCGTTGCCATTGTATTATAAGTCAGATTGTAAGCAATGTGAAATTTTTCATCAATCAGCTGTCCCACATCTGGATAAAGGCGATTTACCAAAGAATAACCATGATCTTCCCAGCAATAGTCCTAAATACAGAAAACAGAATAAATGTGAATAATTAAAATGTGGCGGAGTATAGTTTTGTCTAGCACTCTGCAATGTGGTGAGATTACTAATGGCAGCTGGAATCCACTGCCTGTGTAGGACATCCCTAGCTCTCAGCTTCACCTGCACTCCAGTCTGATGTTTTCAATTTCTGTACTGCAACACGCAAAAGGTTATGTTTCAGAACTCCGCGAGTTTAAAAGCCAATGGAATCTTTTACACACAGGCCACCTGCTTCCAGACTTCTCTCTCTCACTGTCTCCTCACTCAGACTCCGGAGGCGACCGTATCGGGAGTTCGCTTTCCTTTCCCATCACTGCGCCCATTCAAGCAGTCCTCGTGAGTTTTTGTAACACATCCATTACTTACTCCCTCCCCTCCTCTCTCAGCCCTACTGAGTCTTCTAGTTAGTTTTCCTAAATTAACTCTCCTGCTTCCTTTCTTTCCACTTCAGACAAAACTTAATAAGTCCCCACTGCTATATTGCTTCCATATTTATTTTCCTAAAACACCTCTTTGGTAATTACTCTGGTCAAAACTTACAAACCTGACTAATTTTAAACTAATTTCCTACTAGTCAGAAGTAGGAATCCTTTGTTTAAAGCTCTCAACAGCCCAATCATTTTTTTTTTTTTAAAGATTTTATTGGGGAATTGGGGGAGTGAACAGCATTGGGGAATTGGGAGAAGGGGAACAGACAAGTTGCTGTCGTTTTGTTCTTCAGTCTAGTTGTGGAGGACATTGCTTCACTGGCCCATGTTGGTATTATCATTGCACTCTTCCTGGCTGAGGCAGATTGGTCACCGGCCATTGGACGGCTGCTCATGGCAGCTTCATGGCAGCTCACGCTGCTACCCGCCACTCATGCTGGCTGCCGGCCACTCACGGTAGCTTATGGCAGCCCACTGCAGACTCTCTACAGCCTATGCCATCGCCTGGGACTCATGGCAGCCCAGCTCCAGGTTGAGCCATTGTTCACCATCTTAGCTGTAGAGGGCACAGCATCACTGGCCCATGTGGGCTCTGAACTGGCGGCCCTGCTGCTCAGAGCTCGCGCTCCCAAGCCATCTCTTAACCAACAAGCCACTTGGCCGGCCCCCAATCATTTTCTTTCTTTCTTTTTAAAGGAAACTAGGGCACTGTAATTGTTATGCTTTATTTTCTGTGGCATCAGTATTTTAAGCACATCTTTCACATCTGATTTTCTCATCCTCTTTCCCACCACCCACACAGTTGATATGCTGAGGACATTTCTCTTGTCACTCAGGCCTGGTGTTTATCAGGGCAGAAATCGCCTCACTTTAACACTGGGACTCAGTAGGAGATGGGGAGAAAAAACAATGTTGTAAATGCTAGCTATGTTCAAATGCAACTGTTATTTATTGTTGTTACTTTAGAACCTTAAGCAAGTTTTTACTACCATCTGGGAACCTAAACACTATTGTAATTTTGTTTTATGGGTGAATGTATTTTGAATTCTGAGCAACTGATTTATGAACTTTAACATTACAATAAATACATCTTTAACAATACAATAAATATACCTAAGGGAACTGTCTGTACCTAGAAAAGTTACTTCTGCAATATTTTATAGTGCTCAAATCCACATGGCTCTCATTTTAAATCAGATTGAGATATTTCAAACCAATCATGTGCATACAATAAGTTGCAATTTTACCTGGACTCGAAATGTTGGAACGTGCATCCCATGTCTAGAGAAATCCTTATAGCCGTAACTAGTATCCTCAAAGTGACGAGATACATCTCTTGCTGGTGTAACTTCTTCATCATCTGAAATAATTTAAAAAGCCACTGAAAACTTTTCAAAAAACAGGATGCTAGTTAAAATTCATATGACCTATAACAAGTAAAAATAGGATAACCCTTTCTTTGACACTGAATAACCAATATCAACTAAAATAAAGTCTTAAAACTATAAAGAGAAATAGTTTATTTACCAGTAAATGGAATATAATAAAAGTAGATTCTCTGTTATAAAAAAAAAATCTCATGGTTGAATTTTTTATGCTTTTCATTCAGACCCTCTCTCCTTCTATCTCCACTCCAATTCATAGATAATAGATTCTACTTAAAAGTAAGCACTCAAAGTATGAACACCCCTTTGGATAATTTTTATGCTGATAAATCAGCTATGCTCTAAACTTTGGCACTTGGACTCTTTTTGTTGAATATTGTCATATAACATACAATAAGATCTCTCTAACAGATCAAAGTTTCCTAAATGGTGAAGGAAAGAAAGAGGGTGTGTGTGTGTATGTGTGTGTGTGTGTATGTCATTATTTTTACAGTGCTTCCTACACTGTTCTAAATAAGCCTGTTTGGATTATCTTCACATTTAGGAATTGATGAGATTATAGTTTCAAGTAAAAACAAATACTTTTCCTTAAGGAAAAAGAAGTTAACATCCAACTTCCACTCACAGGCATACCTCGTTGTACTGCATTTTGCTTTATTGCAAAACATTCACAGATGTTGTGGTTTTTTTACAAACTGAGGGCAAGACTCTGTATCAGCAAAAAGATTATAACTCACTTTATTGTGATACTTGCTTTATTGTGGTGGCTGAGAACCAAACCTACTATAACTCTGAGTTATGCCTGTACACAAATTAGATTTTTCCAAATGTCCTTCCTCTCAGCCTAACACTATTTTCACTATAACTTCCTTTTCTAGGTTGTCTGCTTTATTTATGAGTAGAATACCTATGCAATAGCCTCTCTAAAAGGAAAGACATATTTAACATTTAGACTGATGTCTAAAAAGTTCAAAATTTTCTAAATAAAAAAGTTGGGCTCCTTTTTGCAAGCAACAGAAATTTTATCAACTACATAATGGTGACTTTTACCTGAAGAGAAGACAAACATGCTTTCTCTTTTTTCTATTTCAAAACGTGAAGCCATCTCTTCCTGACTGGCCTCTTCTTCATCTCGACATTCCTGTAATTGCCTCATCTTTTCCATGAGGGCTTCGACCTCAAAGAAAGAATCACTTCCCTGAAGAGAAAAGACAATTAATGTCACATATGTTAGAGAATGAAACTTTTAAATTTTCTTTTAAGTTTACAAGAATTTGGATCTCAACAGAATATAGGAAAAATAGATCTTACAATTTTAATATACAAGAATGAATCAAAAACTGGTTTTGGCCTATTATGCATGGATATGCAAATTTAAAAATACAAGAGAAAAATTATTTTAAGAATACATTCTAATGTTTTTACCTTAGAAAGTAATAACATCATTACTATTAATCCTAAGTTTTAAAAATTAAAATTTAATACTACTTGTCAATTTAAAACAACTGAATATTTAAAAGTTAGCTTCTACTTGCTCCAACAAACAAGATGCAGAAAGTGATTTCGCATCAACTGTGTACATGGGCATATTGTCAACATATATCTATCATCTTTAAATTATAATCAGCTTTACCTTTCCAATTTACCAACTAAGAATGGAACATGTCCTTACAGGGCTGGAGTTGTCCACCTGATCTCTGCAAATGAAGCTGTCACTTGCTGGGATGACTACAGCAGTGGCCCCATCTATAGTGACAGGTCTGACACATGAGCACTGGCTGAGTGGTCTTGAACTAGTCAAACAATTTATACTTCTCTACCCTGCTGCATCCTTACTATGAAAGCTGGATCAAATCTGTGGAATTTATATCTTATAAAATAGATATAGAAAGAAATCTTAAAACTTCAAACCTCAATATTCAAATAGAAAATCAGTGTTTTCACTTTATAAATTTATTTTGCTTAGGAATGTTCTTCCCCCTACTCTTCTACTCTTTTCCTGGCTTATATCCATTGGTTCTTCAGATGTCAGATTACATGCTTCTCCGGCCCCCAACCCAGCCACCCTAATTATTCTCAAACAGCACTCTGCTCTTTCCTTCAGAGCACCGATAAGTTTGTAATTGTTATTGCATGATGCTGGTTTAATACCTGCCTCCCTAAGACCAAACCTTCAAATGAAAGTGCAGGGGACGGGTCTAATTTATCAGCATATATTCAGAACCTAGGATAGTGCCTGGCACATAGGAGATATTCAAGAACTATTTGTTGCAGAATGACTGTCAGGATAATTCTATATTAAGAGAAAAACAGTCTATATTACTTGTACTTTATATTTTCATATGATCCTAACATTTGTGCCAAAATACCCTGTACTATGTACTTTCTCTCAATTTCATAATGGAAAGTGTTTCTATGATATATTGATGATTCTTCTGAGGCATACATCTCCATAATTATTCCTGAGACAGAGTCAGTAGCTAAACAAAAATAAAACAAGGCTGAAAAGGATTACGTGTTAAGAGAATGACCCAAGGTTTGTTTTTCTTTTAAATCAAGGTCTTTGTCAACTTACAGTATCCCTCATTATATTAATTTATTTTGTTTACCCATTTTCCTCTAAAATAAACTTTCCAAATGTTAGGTATTTTTAGAAGAGACAATTCTTGATAGATTACATATCTAATCTATCTAATAGATTACATATCTAATAGAAATAAGAGGGAAAGGAAAGTGCGTATCTTTTGCTCCTTGAACAATCTGTTCAAGTTGTGAGTAGTGTAAAAAGAAAGTTAAGGCATTTCATTCTAATATTAAAATGTTAATCCTGTATGAGGAAATTATTTTTTATTTGTTTTTTTAACATTTGTAATTGAAGAACTGAGTCAGATATCTAGTAAGTACCTGAAAGAGAATAAACTACATCAAATTCACTGTCAAGTGCCATCAGTGTGGGCTGT